AAGAGTTGCAATCGATTATTTAGAAGAAAGAAAAGGGAGAATATACGAACGGGAGAAGATGATAAACAATATAGAGAGATAGAAAGAGAGTGTGTATCCCCTCTTACATTTTCGAGCCTGCATGGTGATTTATACATAAGCTTTTAGTACTAGTGTCGGGCCTAAAGTGCTTATGATTGTTTGTAGGTTGTTAGTATAACTAGATTTAATTGTTAGATCACGTAAATCAATCAATGATCATGTCTGGAGATTATAGTTTATCGAAAGATATAAAACTCCAAAAGTTTCAAGGAATTTGAAGATTTCATAATTTGATAGATGAAAAGATGATAATAAAAGTATAACTTAGGAAAGAAGTACAAATCTGAGCTGAAAAGGCAATGAAGATTTCCATTGATTTCCATTTTACTCTGATACTTAAAAGAGTCATATTTGATATTTCAATGGCGGCTTCCAACATATATTCTCCTTCTTGATGGGCTGCGTCTCACAAATAATAATTTAATTATAAATAATTGCATATGATAACCTGTTTCATGTAGGAGAGTTGAATACGAATCAAAACAGTTTTTGTTTTTTCATATTTTCTTTGTTTCTCTGGGGTTACAGAAACAGAAACTGAAATTCTAGTACATGGGTGATGTTCAAATTCCTAAGCCATGTCAAAAGGCCCTCTGTCGTTCATATAGGTTGCTAAATAAAATATTGATACGCAAGTATCAATGATCAAATGAAATATTAACATCCCAAGGCATCTAAGACCCAACTTTTACAATATAACCAAATGAAATATTATCCCAAATGACTGGAGTAAACATCAAAAGACAGTAAAATCAGTAGAGAAGGAAGTAAAAGGTAGGATTAGTTCTCATATCCTATGTTACTTGGGAAAGAAGTATCATTATTTCAACACATATGTGAAAACAACTATCATTACTTCAACACAGAAAGCATATTTAAACTCATGTCATGAACAGTCTACCAAAGTCTTCTTCCATCCACAAAACTAGGGGTTGGAAAAGGAAATAGCATGCACTTCAATAAGAGTTAAGATTATATATTTGTTGGTCAGAATAAGCTTTACCAGAAGAAACAAAGACAATTGCGTCTCAACTTCATGTTGATATTCTTAATATCGCTCCCCCAACGCTCATTGAATTCAATTTCCAATGTCAGTGACTCCAAGTAAATAATGTTTTCCAGTGTCAGAAATTTGTTCAAAATTAGAGTATCACTCACTCATTTTTTTAAAAAAAAATCAATTTCTAATGTGCATAAATGTTCTCCAATATCTCAAAAATGGAAGAAATATGTCATGAACTTGCCATGAATTTAGAGAAGAAAGAGAGACTGTAGAAAAAAAACAATTATTCAATACTCAGATCACTTTTCATATTTACTTAGGCCTGTAAACGAACCGAACGCACACGAATGGAGGTATGTTCATGTTCGTTCATTTAATAAATAGACGAACATAAACGAACACGAACATAAACGAACAAAATTTTTTTTGTTCATGTTCGTTTATTAAGGAATATAATATGTTCATGTTCGTTCATTTAATAAATAAACGAACATAAACGAACACGAACATAAACGAACACGAACATAAATGAACACGAACATAAACGAACATAAACGTTGGAGAGCCTACCTTCCATTGTTCTTTCATGAAAAATAGTCGACAATGCAAATAACCAAATCTACAGTGATAAATAGCGTAAGAGTTTATTAGCAGTGATGAAATGTTTGAAGATATCAAATATTTTGATCGATCTTTTAAAGATATTAAATTATTCACACAACTTTAATTTAACAATATAACATTTATCTTAGTGGTCCATGATTACATATGAACAATCATTTTTCGCTATTACACTCTTTTCAGAAATTGCATAGAAACATTTGTTTTGTTTTCTGGCAAATTCTATATATTTTTCTCTTTATTAATGCTCATATACTTCCGATTGTTACCTTTATCTTCCCATCTATTTCTAGAAAGAAGTATGATGTTTTCTTGAGTTTTAGATGTGAAGATACCTACAATAACTTTACATATCAACTATTAAGCCAAATAAAACAGAGAAAGAGATGAAAACAGACCTGTAAAACTTCATATTGCACTATAATATAACTTGTTTTGAAGCTTTCAGCGATCGTCTCCACTCTCTAGTGAACACTAGGGTTTGGGGAAAAAGGGGAAATGAATATAGGTGCGATGTGCCTCACATGTTAACATATTGGATTTAATCTCCAAATAAAATTGGGTTAATTATGGAGTTGGTCATCAGAATATCAGATTAATTAATATTTTTAAGATACTTACAAATTGGTCACCAAAATTGATTTAAGAAGATTGAGTTAAACATAAATGAATGAACATAAACGAACATAATCGAACGAACATAAACAAACATAACCGAACGAACATAATCGAACGTTCACGAACGTAAATGAACGAACGAGACCTATGTTCATGTTCGTTCATTTAATTAAACGAACAAAAAATATTGTTCATGTTCGTTCATTTAATAAATAAACGCACATAAACGAACTTCCCGCCGCACGGTTCACGAACGGTTCGCTGAACGTTCAGTTCATTTACAGGCCTATATTTACTACAAGATTTTATTTGATTACATCATACTTGACAGCTGTTCGCCCTTTGTAACTAATTGTAATAGTCTTTTAAAGTATTATTGATGCAACCCACTTTCGATATATTAAAATTGTAATTTGTTTCTTTAGAAAGCCTCTAGTTTTATTGAAGATAAAAAATATCCAGAATTATAATATAGATTTACAAGCATAATCGTAAACGTAAACTAAATTATAATTAAGATATTTTCTTATAACTATTGATACAAAAACTAACCACCTAGATCTCACAAGACCATAAAAAGAGAAGGTTAAAAAACCTAACCAATGCTCGAACAAAATAAAGATATGAACAAATCTAACTACATCGGTAAAAGGGGATGAAACTATTGAAAGGCCACCAACAAATCGCAAATCGGAGTCAAACGACGTGATAAAACTATCCACGAGCGCAAAATGCGTATCCAAATCAATCCTAGGGTCCAAAGTCGGAAAGACCAGCATGATAACAAATAAGCGTCATCTTGATCAGTCGTGGTGATGTCAAATCCAATCATAAGAAAAAAAATAAACGAAAATAACAACCAAACGACCGAAAACTACCAAAAGGTAGATAAAAAGTATCACAAAGGTAGAGATAAGTGTATTATAAAGGTAGAGATAAACATGTCACAAAAACAAAATTATTTTTATTAAAAAATTAAAAAAGAAAAGAAAAGACAACCGACGATCGACAATCAGTATTAAAACCGATGTTGCCACCGATTAAAATTATAATTTCTTTGATTGAAAAATTGTGTCTGGCGTTATATTTAGGGAATGTCTCCGGTACGACAACCTTAATATATGGCTAAGGAAAGGTGTTATAGGAAACATTATTATTTTTTTAACATTTCCGGTAAAGCGCTATCTAAAACATTATTTTTTCTACCGAAAATATTATTATTGGGTGTTACCTAAAATATCTAACATTTTTTGGTAAAGCGTTACCTAAAACATTATTTTTCTATTAGAAATGTTAATATTTGGTTTTATCATAAAATTAGTTAGTGAAAATAATATTTTCGGTAAAAAATAATATTTTAGGTAGTGTTTTATCAGAAATATTAAAAAAATAATAATGTTTCTGGTAGCGCCTTTTCTTAGCTGTATATTAAGGTTTCCGTGTAGTAGAACTACCCTTGCATTTAACATCATGTTCTTCATTGAATTCATAATGTTGGTAATATTTATCTTTATTCAAGTTGGACTTGGATCCTTAGGACCCATAAACTCATATTTGAATTGCACCAACAATTAATTGGTTTAGTAAGACAAGATACTAAATTTTTAAAAGATATGTTTGAACTATACATTCACGAATAGAGTAAATTAAGTTTGAAAGGTCATTCTTACAGTGTGTCATTGCAAAAATCTAATCTGGATTAGTTGATTCCGATTTTAATTAATCGATTAATAAATTAAATATTAATAATTAATTAAAAATAATAATATATGCAAAAACTATCTTATTATAAACAAATGAAATGTAAATTTAAATACTTACATTTAAAAGGTAAGTATTCGGATCTGTACAGTTTGGGAGTAATTAAATAAATTGTGTATTGATAAATATTCTCAATTACCCAATAAATTTTATGCAATAAACTCAAAATATTCTAGGATAAATTTCGTTAAAGGTCATTAATTTATGTGTTTGATAACAAATAATTCATTTTTTTCTATATATTATAAACATGACTCTCAATTAAAATATTTATTACAAATAAGTCAACTATCATTGAATATTAGATGAAAATTGTGATATAACCTAGCGCAATAATAATTTTATCCCTAAAAATTATATTCGATCAATTTGACCACAATTTAAAGTAATTCAATAAATTTCACTCTTCATATTTAAATTATTTATCATTTTATTCTTTATTATTCTTTTAAAAATATTATATTATTTTACAGTTATATTTTTTGGTATAATAATGATTCAACAGTGACTTGTTATTGCTTTATGACAATTTAATTATTCAATTATTATTTTGATTAAATTGGCTCACTTAGTTTGAACAATATCACAAAAAAGATTAAATTGATAGGATTTTTAAATACAAATGATTAAATTCATTGAACTATTTTAAATTAAGACAAAATTGATAGAAAATACAAGTTCTAGAAACTAAAAATATTACAATATCATGTCATATTAGATCACATTAGATGTTAGTTGCAATCTTAGATGTAATAATATTTTGATTGAGTGATCTGTTTGTAATTTTTCAAACAATGTAATCTGTTTATTATCAAACATATAATTAAACGACTTTGAATGTAGTTTGCCCAGTATTTTATTCAAACATTAGTAAAACTGAAAGGAGAGAACAGCCAGCCAGCGACGTTACGTCTCACCTCCCAATTCCAAGCTCCCAACTCTTTCTTTCCATACATTTTGGCCCTTTAATTTTCAGATTTATATTTTGTTTTGTCCGAATCTGATCGAGGGCTTCGAGATCTCTCAAGATCTGCGGCCTCTCTAACCTTTCGCTTCCTCGTAACTTCACTCAGGTAATTTTTCTCCTTTTGTTTAATCAATTCCCTTGAATAATCTTTTCCTCTTTTAGAAAATGAAATTGATTGTTGCAGTTGATCTATTTTTTTAGTTTTATTAGCTAGGTGCAGGAGCTGGCGGGGATGATAGAATGCAGTGTTTGCCACTCAAAAATAGCATCGCCCGGTAGTAAAACCGTTTCGAGGGCTTATGATACGCACCGCAGCTATGTCTCCTCCAAAACTCGTCTCCTCAACGTTCTTTTGGTCTCCGGTGACTGCATTTTGGTCGGTTTTCAGGTAAATTCTTTGCTTCTAACCATCAAATCCAAGCCAGCAATTCCGATCCGTGGTTTCTTTGCATTCTAACACTATATTTATATTAATTACTGCAGCCTATATTGGTATATATGTCAAAGGTGGATGGGGGTTTCAAGTTTAGCCCACTTAGCGTTAATTTTCTTACTGAGGTGGCCAAAGTTACTTTCGCCATTATTATGCTCTTGTTCCAGGTACTTTTAGCATTTTATTAATTTTCAACTAGAATAGGAGTGAGATTTATACCATACCTAAAATGGAGTTCAAAAACTCAACAAAAGGGTTTAACTGCTTGTCATGTGTTCATTTAGTTATCTATGGTCAGGTTTTTATAACATATACCTAAAGTGATGTCCAATGCATGAACTCTGTTGTCCCCATGGAGTTGTATTCTCAATTAAGTCATAATTATACCTGTTGAATTTACGATTAAATTATCTTTTTATACTAGGTTAGATAGACCGAAGGAAACTTAAATGTCTCTCTAGTACAACTTATCAGAATAATTTGGGAAAATAGAGCCGAGTGTACCGAATAAGGTGCCCTTATATAGAACTTAGTATACCCAATAAATTTGTTTTTTCTATTGACCTACAATGTCAGGAAAAGTTACCAAGCCTAGCCTGTAGAAGCTCAATGGGTTTGCTATTAGTATTCAGTTTGAATAGGAACAATTTAATTTCAAAGATTAATGGAAGTCCTAGCTCATTGATTATCTCTCTAAATTTTATTTCTGATTCTTTTTATTAAATTCTTTCATTAGATATAACAGTTCTTATTTCTCTCTCTCTATCTCTCTCAAGGCTCGGAAGAAGAAAGTTGGGGAGAAATCTCTTCTCTCAATTTCATCATTAGTGCAGGTAAGAAGTTTACTTCCACAAATCTATGATTCTGATTGCAATTGTATCATTAGTTTTTGTATCACTAATTTCACACTATTGATTCTTAATAACATTAATAACCTTGATGATTTTATGATGCATCCCAATAGCTTTTGATAAAGAATGAAAACCTTGTATACTAAGGATCAACCATTGGGCTAATTAGCGGTTTGATTGTTTGTTTCATTAAGTTTCTTCTAATGATATGGGATGATTTTGTATTGAGTGCTACTGTGAGACTGATCAAAAAACTGATTTAACCATGTATGCTTTTCGGTAGATAACAATAGCAATTGGCATACCAATGTGGTTATTCATTGTGATCTTAGTCGATACTTTTAAGATATTTTGGGTCGTAGTGGGGGAGAAATTAAAACAATTCCAGTTACTAAGAAGCCATGCTGAAAGAAGAGATGCAGCAAGTCAGTGAAATGTTTCTAGTTTCACATAGTTTACTGATTTTTATTGGTCTTGTATTGTGCAGTAAATTTGGTCAAACACTGTGTTATGCAATGTGCAACTTCAATGAGACTAATGGTAGATGAAACATGGTTTTTGGTTTATTTTTAGAGTGGAGATACATTATTGGGATTCTTTTATTTTTGAGTGGCACTTTTCTTTATTATTCCTTTGATATAATACAACTCTTCATTCATATCATGGGTTTTCTGAAAAAGATGCTGCCAATTAAGTATCTTATTTGGTTAATGAAAATGTGTTTGGATTACATTCTGTAAACTAAAGTATCTGTACTAATATTAATGTGGTGTAATTATGGTTTAGCAAAACTGTTTTAATGTGCCATGAAATCCTTTTGAAACTTTTAGCTCATTTTCACCTTTTTATCTACACATTATTGTTTCGTCCTGAATCTACCTCTCTGAAATGATATGAACCATAGAAATTCATGGACAACATATTTTTGACCTCCAAGGTGCCTTTTTTCTTTGTTCTAAAATTTTGCAGGCTGCTCGAAATAATGTGCTTCTTGCAGTTCCAGCTCTACTTTACGCTATTAACAATTACCTAAAGTTCATCATGCAGGTGGTGTTTTCTTACTGATCTTTCTGCTTCTTCTATGTCATCTGAATAGTTTCAGTTACTTAACTATGTGCTATGTTTCTGTTAAACTATTTATCCACAGCTAAAATTTCTTTCTAGTATTCTTTGGCTTATTTTCTAATATTTATGCTGTTATTCCTCTGCCAGCTTTATTTCAATCCTGCTACTGTGAAGATGCTTAGCAACCTAAAGGTAGAATAATACATTTTTTAACAATTATTTAAATAGTATAGGCTCTAATCAATCTCCTTTTTGCACTAAATAAATGCATTTTGGGTTAGTTTATGCTTTAAAACTTCGTCCTTTTGGTTATTCGTCAGGTAGTTACCACCACAATCAATTGGTTTGACGAATCCTAAATACCATGTGTTTATGATTCTCTTTCTATCTGGAAGTTTAACTTATTGGTGAAAACTAACTTTATGCTACTGTCCACCATAGAAAATGTTAAAGTACTATGAACATGATTCTGTTGTTTCTTTTTGGTTTCCTGTGAGAATTCTTAGTGAATCTGTTTCAGTATTGTCCAACTTATGCAGGTTTTGGTAATAGCTATCTTGTTAAAGATGATCATGAAACGGCGGTTTTCTATTCTTCAGGTTAGTTTGAACGGAAAGATTTTTCTCATTGAACTGTATCATGTTCAATTATCGAAAGCAAATATGTGGACAGCTGGAATGGTATATTGATTATAGTCTATCTATATTGCATATTTGTGATGCTGATCCATATTTGTAACAGTGGGAGGCTCTTGCATTGTTGCTTATTGGAATTAGCATAAACCAGTTGCGGTCTTTTCCAGAGGGTACTACTTCATTTTATCTTCCGGTTGCAACTGGCGCATACATGTACACTCTAATTTTTGTAAGTTGTTAACATAGTTGCTTCACTTAATTGACGTGACAACTTTTTGAACTGTCTGTTTCAAAGGATTATGCCTTGCAATGATTTTATTCATGCAGTAGGACTTTTGAGATGCATGTTCCCCTTTTTCATACATATAGAAAACTAGAAATTGCTTATTTACAGATTATAGTTTAACTTAACATAGCTTAAGGAGTTATTTTGCAATTTACAAGTTGGGTGCCTGCATGTTGATACAGGTTATAATATGTTTGGGAAAGAAAATTTTGAATATTTATTGAAGTGAAAAAATTAATGTATATGATTATTTTTTGATAAGGGGGGATGGGAAGGGTTGTCCAGGGTTTGAATCGAGGACTAGGTGTCAACCAAAGACTTGATATCAATGCAAGTCATTTGTAACTACACCAGTGGCTTAGTTGGCAAAATTAAAATAAATAAATAAAGGATGAGTAGGGAATATTTTACGTTCTGTTAAGTTAAAACTGTATATTAAATGTTTGATTTGGACCTTTGGTTTTTGAAGCAGTTAATGCTAGAAGTGAATTAAAGAAAAAATCAATTGATAAACCATTGTACACTAACTTTAGTTATAACACAAACAGACAAATAACTTGATAAACCCAGTTATTAAGTTTACAGCTTTTACACTACTTGTTAACCGTTGTACTTGTTATGGTGTTACTTTGACCAAAAATCATTCAACACACACCATAATTTATTACTGCATTACAATCTCTTAGATATATACAATAATTAATCCAGTTTTTAGGTTTGAACTTGAGTATATTTACAAAGAAATCTCATAATTTACTATGCAAACTTGCAAAGTCAACTATCTAAATATATATCTAGTAAATATCCTAATGCTAAAATTGATCAAATCAAGTTTCTAAGCATACTTCAATACTATGATGGTTTCTTAATAGTTCATGCTCCTTAATAATGTTAATTATCAATAGAAAATAAATAAATAATAGAAACAGAATAAATTGGTAATTGAGTTATTTTTTGTGGGTTGGGGTTTTTTGAGTCAATAGATACAGTTTAAGATGATATGAATTCAGGACCAAAAAACCGATTAACGATTAAAGACATAAGTTCAACAAAGGCTGTTAATAAGAAAAACAGAGTGCTACAGCACGGTGAAATACCTGGTGAAGGAAAACCCTCATATGACCCAAATGACTTGAAACACACAAACTGTGAAAACTAATGGTATGGTGCACTATTTTGCTTGTTGTGCCCCTCTTACAAAGACACTGCTATAGGACAATGATAAAAAATCGTTAGTTATAAGATTAATGGTTCTATCATGCTAGATACCATGACGCAATGAAATCTAACTGTATGAATTTAATGCAGGTTACTGTCCCATCAATGGCATCTGTCTTTAATGAATATGCTTTAAAGAGCCAGTTTGAGACGAGCATTTACCATCAGGTGCGTTTATAATTATTTTATTAGTTGTCCTGATAACTAGGAAAAAATCATGAAGTCCTACATGGCATAGATTTTTAGATTGTGAGAATTAAAGTAATTTTCTGATGGTTAGGCGAATGGTTTAAAAAGAATGTTCCTTGACCATAAATTTGAATCCTCCATTTATTTGTGGTTGTTTTATGTGTTTCACAGAACTTGTTTCTTTATGGATATGGTGCAATTTTCAATTTCCTAGCCATTCTTGGAACTGCACTTTTTAAAGGTAACAAAAAGACTTTTATGCTTGGAATTTAATGTTGCTGCCTGGTGAGATGAAGCCACTGATAAACTCTGGTTATTTGGAGGAAATTATGATATGATGTCAACCAATATTTATTGATCACATTTGGGTGATATTTCTTCATTGTCTCACAAATTCCTTTAGACATGTATACTCACACATATATGAGGGATTCACTAACATTAGTGTAAAATTAATTACTTTTACTTACTTTTGTAACTTTTCATTCGATTTTTATTTGTTTAATCTGTCATATTCCATGTTCTATCCACATAGATCATGCATATTAAGTTTAGAGTAAACTAAAAATATTTGTTCAGTGTGAAAAACTGTCTACTGTTAAATAGATAGTGAGAACATCAGCAGTCTCAATATGTATGATACTGATATCGAATTGATTCAGAACTTTATGTTAATGTCAAGTAGACTAATATTACTAACTCCAGTGGTTGCTTCATTAAAATATTAAGTGTAGTTTAATTTAGTTATACACTTGTGTAATTAGATTTCTCCTCTCTCTGTCTCTCTCTACACGTACATTTATACTGATATTTTTTTTTCTTTAGAAGGCATACAAATTGCTCTAAGTGCGCTTATAATCTTTTTCTTGACTAGCAACTGTATTTCTGTGACCCCCTTGCTTTTAGGTCCCAGTAGCTTGGATATCCTTCAGGGACATTCAAAAGCTACCATGCTTCTAATATGCAACAATGCAGCCCAAGGGATCTTATCATCTTTCTTCTTCAAATATGCAGGTAAATTTAATACTAAAAAGTGTGTGTGTGTGTGTACACTGAAGTTGATAAGGTGATGCCAAAAAAAAAAGCAAAAAAGGCAAAAAAAATTAAGGGATTACTGGACAACACTGAAGTTGATTATACCTTGGAAAAGTACTTAATGCATATCTATATGAAATGAATGGTTTTAAAAGGTTGAAAAGGAAGCACCAACATTCAATTTAAGGCTTGGCTATACTTCTTGCTTTATGATCATATGCAAAAAACTAAATCATACTTTAATTTGAACTGCATATTGTTTCCTGCGTGTTTATTTGTAGAGAAAGTAATTCGTATGATATGATGATATCATAGCCTAAATATATGCCATAATTGCTTGAAAACTCTTTGGGAAATTTTACAACTATTGATTATGTCTGTCATAGATGCCATAGAAATTTTTAAAGGGATATGGACAGCTGGTGCTAATCTCCTAAAGGAAGCTTTCAGCCTTTCACCCAAAAACAATTGTCAGGGAAGTTGGTCATTCCTTTGGTCATCCAGATATTGTGGGTAGAGGGATAGGAGAGGTGTTCCTGATGTGAACCTTTGGAGAACCACACTCGAAAAGCCAGCTGTTGAGGTTGGGCAACCTAGGTATTTATACACTCCACAAGGAAATCCATATTTTTCCTGGCTAAGGAAAACACCTGGAAATTGTTGTTATACAAGTTATCTCCTAAAAGCCAAAGAAAAAAACTGTTTTTGGGTAGATGTTAAACTATTCCATAGCAAAACATATAGTTTAACTGGAAATATTTCAGCTATTCTGCAATTAAGCATGATGCCACCTTTCACATGATGGTTTGATTAACATTTAGCTGATCCTGATCACGATTGTAAAGAATCATTGGTATATGAAAAGGGACTTTAGACAATACTTGGTGAATCTTTTTTATATGTTCGTGGTAAAAGAATTAAGTTGTGTTCAGTCAAGTATAACATTCAGACCACTTTTTATGACTGCACTCAGGAGTCCCCCTAGTATCAGTTAATGTGAGAATGATGTTATGCTAACTATATAATTAATGCCCGTAACATTATGATACAACATATTTCCTTTGGCTACCCTTCTAAAATTTAACAAACCAGTTTCCATATTTCAGTGTATTGCACTAAAATTTTCTTCCGTTTGGCTGACTGGTCACATTCTTTTTAGACCCTTGCGTTATTAGTGGCACTATATTTTATTTTATTTATCTTTCACTGTCTATAGGCTTCTCATATTGTTGTATTTTGTCTTCTCAAGTATGATTCCTTTTTATTGCAGATACAATCTTGAAAAAGTACTCCTCAACTATTGCCACGATTTTTACTGGCATAGCATCTGCTATTTTGTTTGGTCACACACTGACCATAAACTTTGTTTTAGGAATATCAGTTGTGATCATCTCCATGCATCAGGTAATTTTAGCATTTATAGGTTCTCTTATATGCTTATGCTGGCCATTGAAGCACACACTGAGACCTACACCTGTTTATTTTTTTGATGCTCCTACCCTGTTGTTCTTTTCTCTGCTATTGTGATGATAGGGGGTGACTGCTTATAATTGTGGTGTATATTTTCTTCCTTTCAGTTTTTTTCGTCAAGTTCAAAGGTTAAAAATGAAAAACAAAGTGGTAGTGTGGAGATGGTGGATAGCCAAGACAGCAAGAGGTATACCTTTTTCTTGTATGCTATTTTTGTGAACCATGAGGAAACCGCTCTATACTTGGATGTTGATTATGGAAATGACTGGATCTATGATTTCCAAAGCTTCATTTTTCCCCTGTATTGTTCAAAAGTGGCTGTGGTCTATTTCTATTCCTGATCATGAACTAGTTGAAAGGTAGGGTTAAAATGAGCAGATAGTGATGACTAATGAGTCTAAGAGGCCTTGGAATAATAAGAGTTCTTAAGAGAAGGGTTTTAAATAGCGGTTCGCGACCGCGATAGCGCCTGCGAAATAGCAGTAGCACTGCCTTCTGATATACCCGCTATACCCACAATAGCGACCGCTATGGCCGCAATCGCGGTAAACGGGACATGACCGAAAACGCGACCGCGGCTTGAATCCCTGCTTAAGAGTTAAGACTTGTCTCAGATGTTTTTATGCCTTTCTGTTAACATATCATATCATATCAACTTTGTTGTGTCTAAAGTGGGTCAACAAAGGTATCATCATAATTGGCTCTAACAATTCTGTTCTGAGAGAACTTATAGGAGTGTGACCTGCGGTTCTGTTCAATTGTTGGAGAACATATTAGAGGGCTGGTTGATGGCCATTGAAGGAACAACTATTTAGAAGTTTGTGAATGATTATGATGATTTTTAGACCCTGGGTTGGGACTTGGGCGCTAGGACATATCCAGATAAGGAGGGAAAAGGAAAATAATATAAGAGACACCTCCAGTTTAAGTTAATTGCCTTTGTTTTGTAGTGAAATATATGTATTTCTCATTACACGACAACATCTTGCTGTTATGCTCAGTTTTCCCAGTATTTTAGTTCTCTGATCCTCTGTAAACTAAAGATGCTAACTTATCAGGTCTAAGGATGCATCGGTGCTAAATATGACTGCTGGAGCTAATGAAGATGTGAGATATTTCAGTGGCAGTTTTCTATTAAAATATTCTTAATTTTTTCTGTTTAACTTATCCCCGCATTTACTATATCTAATGCTTTTTTTTCCTCCAGGCTAGTCATCGTGGTCATGAGGAAGAGAAAAGACCGCTTCTTCCCATTTAAGTTCCACATAATTGGTATGGATATTGGATCTGCAGTCAGTAGAATATTTAAATTTTCTGTGCTTTTTTCACCGTCTAAAACTTATCATTCCTTTTTGTGCTATTAGAAAAAAACATGAGGTTTCAAATGAAAGAAACTACGCATGTAGCTACATTGATTGGATGATATTCGAAATTTATAGGGGAATTTTATTAATATTAGAAAATAGAGGCTGCAACTGAGGGTATCCAGTTGACGTTGGGTTATTAGATCAGGTTTTGGTTGTTCTCCTTTCGAATTGCATCAGGGTTTGAGCAGGTTGGGTGAGTTTTATTGGTCAGACAAGTTTGTTAGGAGATGTTCATATAAGTGATTTTGTTTGATATATCTGTTAAATAATTCTTGTAAATGGTTTGATTTCAGGAACAGTTTTGAGGCAATACATTATTAGGTGGGACAAAAGAAAAAAATATGAGTTTTTGGCTACCGAACACAGAATAAACGCCATCTAAATGGTTCTTTACAGTTGATAACTTCACGCATCGTTTACGAAACCAGTGGACTGCCATCTGCATCTGCTATAGTGGAAACGTTTTTAAAAGATTATACTGGATTTCAGAATCCTTATTCGTAGAGGAATATAATTATTTTAACCGTTGCATTTGTGAACAATGATTATCCAATGGATTGGAGTCCTGAATCTTTGATATAGCCACTAGTAATGGTTCATTCGTTGTGATATATTATATAAGCCTTGCAATTTAGCCTTTCATTTCTTCTACACCCATCGCAGGTTGGGTGAATTTATGGACTTAATTAAATTTTGGATATCTACACTTCCACCCAAAAGTACGACCTTTCAGCATTGTAATTCTTTAATCTGATCCAAAAAAACTATATCTCCAGGAATGGATTGAGTGTAGTTGGCCCCCTAAAATTTTAAATTATAATATAAATATTATTTTGTACTTTTTATTGATAATTAATTTCTTTTAAAATTTTATAAATTTGTGTTCTCTGAAACTTTATTATTTACCATTTACAAGTCGAAGGTCTCGGTGTTCCAAATTTGAATCTTATGAATAGAGCACTATTGGAAAAATTGGCATGGAAATTCACGAGCGAGAGGAATACGTGGTGGAAGAGGGTAATTTGTTGCAAGAACAATATTGAACCGAGGTCTTTTTGGGTGGATAGGTCGATATCTTCTCAAGCCTCTTGGATATGGAAAGGGGTGGTTAAGAATCGTATGGTCAATGACGATTTTGGGATGAGATTTAGGAACTATTTTCTTTTAAAAGTAGGTTTGGGGGAAGATATTTCCTTTTGGCATGATAAATGGGGGTAACATCCCCTTAAAGTTAGATTTTCGTGATTATTTGCACTTTCGGTTAATAAAGATGGGAAATTTGTTGTGTTTTCTTATTCAAGTTTGTGGTGGGACGTTCAAAAGAGAATGAATCTAATGGATTGGGAGTTGGAGCAGTGGTTGGAACTTAATGGGATGCTTTGCAATCTCCCTAATGAGCCTTTTAAGGAAGTTTGTTGTGTATGTCTGGAAATGAGGGGTTGCTACTCCGTTAGATTTTTCATCAAGTTATTGAGTGACGTGGGTGAGAATGACTTTTTATGGTCTAAAAATGTGTGGCTTGGTATTGCTCCTCTTGTAAAAACCTTTGTTTGGAAAGTGCTTCATAATAAGGTGGTTATCAAAGAAGAGCTGTTAAAGAGGGGTGTTTCAAGGGTTGAGGATTTAGTTTGTCCTCTATGTGGTTTGGCTCTGGAGTCGGTATCTCACCTATTTGTTTCATGTGGAGACACGTGGGAATTTTGGACCAAGTTTCTACGATTGTGGAATATGTCTTGCGTTTTGCCTATAATCCTGCTATGCTTATTGTTGTCTGGTTTGATTTAGTTCCCAGGTCGATCATATGGTCCTTTATTCTAGGTACATTTTTGTAACACCCTAAATTTTAAACTAGTAGTTTCGGGTTTACCCGAGAGGTAAGCGGACCCTGTGGAAATTTTAATTTAAGTCATTGGGCTTAATTGAGTTTGGATTTGGGCCTAATTAGCCATAAAAAGGGGATTTTTTGGGTATGAGTCTAAAGACTAAGGACTAAAAGTGTAATTATACCATTGAGGGAAATTGAAGATAAAATTTGGGGATTTATTTCATCTTAGACGTGGTAAGAACTCATATTCTCATCTTTAATAAATTGCAAATCCGTCCCTCTTACTCCCTATAACATTCTTATGTTAAGAAAATCTTTGCATCTTTGTTGGTTAGAGGGAAAGGGTGAAAAATTAAAATGAGGGTGCTTGCTAGATAAAGGAGGTTCATTTCAGGATCCTAGCGTCAAGGTAGTGTATTTATATTCCTTTGGAGTATTAAACTTTCATAAATTTCAAGAATTTGCTAAGATTTGTGTAGTTGAGGCATATTAGGGTTTGATTTTGATTTTGTTGAGCTCGTACGAACAACCGAAAATGCCAAGAGGAGGTGAATTGACCTTTTAAAAAGTTTGGTGGTAACAATCGAAAATTAAAACTTTTTGCACAACGATTTAGACTGGTTATTCTAAACCAAGTCTACATTCACTACCTTAGCATCCACACTAAGGATTTCTCAAATCCACTAGATTTGCTTACCTTTGAGGACAAGGTGTAACCTTACAACAACTCACAAGATTTATATCTCGAAACCTTGTTTACACTCTTTCCACTAGAGGAATTACAAATAAAGCAAACAAAGAGAATCTCACAAGACAAATGTGTTTGTACTCATTAAGCTCTCACGCAAATCACACTTGATCAAAATAAACAATAAAGCTCACAAGTGTGTTTACAACAAAGAATTTTACAAAATAAGCACAAAACTAAACTTTGATGTTGGTAAATTGGTACAATATGATTCTTGTTGACCTTGGGAAGCTTTGACCTTCAATTTATACATTCTCTATTAATTCTATTCGTTTGGAGCTGTCGGGGATCATTATAGTTGTCACCTACAACCAAAAATAGCATTTAATGCACAAGGGATCAATCCTTTGGTGAAAGAGGTCGATCATTTTTCAAAAAAAATCAACCGTTGAAACAAATGGATTGATCCTTTTCATCTAGGGATCGATCCTTTTTCAAATGGATTGGTCTTTTTGCTAGGGATTTGAGCCAAAATCCTTGGAAATTTAACTTTAAACCGCAAAAATGATCAAGTATGGTTTTGAAAAGGTTCGACTAAGTTGGAAAACATTTATAACATATTTTTCAAGTTAATTTGGACTTTAAATTTTTTATAAATTCAATTAATTCCAAAATAAATTTTGCAATTTAATGTTATATCAAAATATTAATTCAATAATCTCTCCCTTTTTTATATAACAAAACCTTTTGAAAAATTATTTTTGAAAAATGCCCCCTCTCAGAAAAAAAATAAAACAATTTGAGAGTTTATGAAAAATTCAAGCTCTAATTTTAATTTTGAAAAATCATTTTTCATTTTATACTTACTTCTCCCTTTTTTATTATATCAAAAATAATTCAACAATGTTAGTTTCATATAACAAAGGATATAACGTACTTAAATTTTGCTAGAATCAACAATAATCATATTAAGGTACTAAAAGCATGAATATCCCAAAAATATGAAATGTATATAAGTTCAAATATCCATAAAAATCAACCAAATATCAAATCAACATAGATTCAAATACCGAACATCAAAAGTCAAATACCCAAAATGTAGCAAAGTCTAAAGATGCGATAAAAATGATATGTTATGATATGCATAACTTAAGACGGTGAAGAAGGAGAGATGAAAAATCAGTCAAGCTGATTTTGGATCATTCAAGCCTCTTCAGTCGTAGCATCCTGACGACGCTTTATCTCGTCAAGGCGGGAGTCGAAATGAGCTCAGAGAGAATCAATCGACTGAAATATCCTCTCCTCAAACCCTCGAAATAAATTTACATAAGGTGTTAGGTCAACATAAACGCTCTCTCGAGTTCCCTGCCAATGTCATCATGTGCATCGTCCATGTGTTCATCTCTATCACGCTCATCCTCATGTCCTCTCCATGGAAACTACGAACCCAATGCATGGATCCCTTGGGCTCCTCCGAGTAGCCAATCTTCGCCATGGTACCTCGACCAATGGTCCTATCATCTGAAAGGTACATGCTGGGCTCGTGAAAAGTGTTGACGTTAAGAAGCTCGAACAAGTGGCTAAGGTAGATCTCGTAGACTAGGTTCGACCGAGCCTTTGATTTGATGACGCTCACGATGTCATTGAAGATCATGCTCACAATATGAAGCTTGCGACTTAGTTGGATGCAAAACATCCACCAATAGTCGCTCTCACAAACAGTCGAGAATTTTGTGCCTTGAGCACGAATGCAATATGAGACAATAAGATGGAGCAAACATTCATTTAAGGAGAAAAAGGGACACTATCATTTCTAAGACGCATCTTGATAGGAAATGGCCTTCTTCATTATCGCCGGTAAGAGAAAGGCCAAAAGGTTGGGCGATGAAATCAACGAAAATAGTGGCAGTCTGACCCATAAGATATGAAACTATGGTCTGAAAGGTGGTTTCATCTCAGGAAGTGGATGAAACACTAGCATTTGAGTAGAAAGCTCGAACCAAAGAATGATAAGTAGGACCATAAAATTTTATAAAAGTAAAAAGATTCATATCTTTCAAGTTTTGCTCATAATGAAAACCAAAATTGTTTAAATATTCAAAATTGATCTTTCGGGTTTCTTTAATCGGTCGATATGCAAAGAATGAGTCAAAACGCTAACGAGCTTTTGTATTTCGAAAGCATTGATCAATCCAAGAATCAATTTGATTCGAGGATTGTCCCTTTGAAGCCATAGATTTTCTTTTTGACATTTAAAAAAAATGTGTTTTTGAACAAAAATGAGTGTTTAAGGATGCCAAAAAGAAATTTAAAAAAGATTTAAAAATGAATTTTGGGCTTGGAAAAAGGGTATAGTCGAATGGAATTAGAAGGTGGTTTTGGTTGGGGAATT